CTTCAAGATAAAATACCAATCAATAGAGATTTTTCTGGGAATGTTTATTGAAAGAGAAGAAGCTATATTGTTGTCTCTTAGAAATTATTAGAGGATTATTGTGTGGAGAATAATCAGTATTCTTTGAGTTAATATCATTATTCATATATTTGTTTGATCATAAAATAAGGTGACTAGATAGAAAAAGCTTGAAGAGTAATATAATGTCTATAGAAAAGAACAACTACTTGTATAAGAAATTTTATTTTCTGAACACAACAGCCATTAAATACATTGAAAGTATATCATTTAATTAAAAATAGTACAAAGTATTAGATTAGTTATCTAATCATTTGTTTAGTAATAGATGAATGTGTCAGAGGGACAGAAAGCTTATATGCCAAGAAATGTAGATGGCTTATAAGCTTTAAACACATTAAATCAATTATGTAGTGTACTTTAAACACATTAAATCAATTATGTAGTGTACTTTAAACACATTAAATCAATTATGTAGTGTATATAAACACATTAAATCAATTATGTAGTGTACTAATACATAATTATTCTTTTCTGCAGATGTAATAAGAATTAAATGAGAATATTTGCATTACTGTCAATATAAAAGCAGATTGTTATTTTTCATTTTTCATGACATTAACAACTTTGTAATTGAAAAATGACATGTTTGAATTGCATGTTTATGACCAAATTATGTTGGATTATTAATATTTTAATAAAATTAAAAAACATACAACGTGGAATAAAAATTAGATGATGATTATTACTTGAAAAATGCAATACAGTCGACACCCCCTATAACAGGGTAGATATGTTCTGTTTTTTATGAAATTCATGTTGTACGAGTCCTTAAATACATGAGCCGATTACAGCCCGGCATGTATGCAGTTTATGGACTACGGCTGTTTGAAAAGTTTTCTTCCATAAAATTAATTGATTCTAGACTAATTTGACTCAACATTTCCAAAACACGTATAATTTTTTGGGAATAATCCATATAAACTATGCTATAAACAAAAAATTGTAGGATTACTTACCAAGTGTGCACTGTTCGACGATGCCATTGCTTAAGCTTGTTTTCGTCACAGAGTGGCACATCGAATGGTAGGCGTGTTTTTCCTGATAAATTATTTTTCTGTGAAAAATTTGCTGAACTTCAGAGACATCATTAATATAAATATAATTTTTATGGCCGTTAAATAATAAATGGTTTTTAGTAGGTCTGCTGCTTGTTTAAACTCAATGGTTTGTGCAAAATCCGCTATTGGTCTAGATTTGATCAATCCTGTTGCGACATGAGTTGGCGATGATGTTTTACTGTATTTTACGAGTTTCTTTTAGTGTGTTTATACAAATATGGTCGCAATTTTTTTGCCGTTATATACAAATCTGCATTATATGAACCTGTTTTAAAGTGGGGTCTACTGTATTTTAAAACATTGTGTCCAATCACTCAACAACAGATGGATTGATCAATGTTTCTTGACATTATTCATATTAAAATGAAAACTGTATTGAAACAATGAAATGAAAACCTTTAATAACAATGCTTGAAAGTTCACTAATTTATTTTTAAAGTATCAATGTTAATATTAAATTGAACTAATTGACAATTGCTGTATTATTATGAAAAGTTATTAAATGACTAAAGTACTAGCAGTGTAAAAATGTTATCTAATTCAAACAAATGAAATACAGACAATAACTGATATTACATTTTAAAATTTTTTCATTCTTTTTACGAAAAAGAAATGGAAATTATGTTAATTATTACCTAAATATTTTACTATTCTACTTTTAATTTTGATGTGTAATGACAATGAATNAAGGTTTTGGCAATTATTCTCAACACAATGCAAACTGTCAGTGTTTAAAAAAGAGAAACAAACTTGTTTTACATTTAAAAATTCACTTATTTTATGTGTGAGACCAGAAGCAAACCATGCATATTTAATCAAATTATTAAATATTGGCGCAGATAATTAATGATAAAGAATCGAATGTAACTTTATTACGCCATTTCTAGTTGTCCGAAACAATTTAATCGAAGAAGCATTACAATATAATTGTATAGCATTTAAAATTTTTTTAGCTAAAAGTTTCGCTTGTCTATGAAATCCAAAGGTTGGCGTATAAACGTACACTTTAGTGGAATAATTAGTACTTGGCATAAATTTTGATTTATATATGTTTGTAACAATGAGTTTTCTGTTATATTGGCGATATTACGTCTTTTACACAGTTTGTAATAATTACAATCGTAGCTGTAACTGTAACGTTTGGATCATTAAAAAGCGATTATCACATTATCAGGCATTCTCACATAAACGATTAAATTCTGCTATAATGTTTTGAATATTTACAAGTCTCTGATTTTCGAAAATTCTAGAATTTATTCTTAACATAATATCGTTATTTTCCTCTGCGATCTTTTCAGTACTAAAAATATGCTTTTTTTGTGTTAAACTAATATAATATGGAGTTTGTATACATTTAACGTAATTATTAACTAAACTTTATTAATATTCATTAAATGACATTCTAACAGTTTCCTTGTGAGATGTATTTAAAGAGCGAATAGCGGCCTTTTTAGATATCTACTCAGATACTTAATGTTTAAATTTAACGAAAACGTTTGCTTATTAAAAATTTTGTGCTGGAGATATACAGAGATTTTGTTATATAATTTATAGAAATGCATTCTTTATCTTCAAAATTCCAATTACATTTTACTCGACTGTTTCGGTCGTGATATAAACTCGGAATGAAAGATTGATCGTCGCTAAACACGTTCAAATGAGTCCTGAAAACAATAAACTATTAAAATATACTTGAGCGGGTATCGCAGCTTTAAAACTTTTCTAGAAAGTTACTCTTTAAAAAGAGAATTGATTTCCAGAATAGTAAGTATAACTTTGATACTCGTTTTTTTGGGCCAAATCTCAAAGAACGGAAACCAAACTAATAAACTAATACGTAATTTAAACGCTTAATTGGGACACGTTTTCGCTAAATTGGGGCAGTAGCAGAAAAGGAATATAGCAGTTTTTGATAAACAGTATTTTAGGGTTCTTCCGAAAATAATGCTATCTTACGTTCACTAATGTGTAGGGTTAACGCAGGCGTGGCCAACAGTTTTTGCCCCCCGGGCCGTATTAGAGAAAACTTTTTCACGGGCCGAACGAAATACTGTATTAAAATTTAAAAATGTTAAATACAAAAACGATTTCTTTAAGTAAATAAATAGAGAGGTTGCTGCCGAAGTTTTTATTTTTAAAACGTGAACTTCGAACGTCGAGCGCCGCTTACAAGTTAACGGCGCTCGACGTTCGAAGTTCACGTTTTACGGATGAAAACTTTGGCCACAACCTCTCTAATATTTAAATACAGTAGAGCCTCGATTATCCGACCCCCGATTAACCGACACCTCGGTTAACCTACCGTCCTAGTCGGCAAATTTCAAATGTCCGCTAATGATGTGGCGCTACAATATTTGGCTATGTCTTGCTACTTTAATATTATTTTTACGTGTTTTAGCTGGCAACACTCATTCGACCATGAAAGGGAGCCAGTATTTAAACGAGGCTTAATTTTCTAATTTTTAACGCTACAATAGCGACGATTATTATTTTAAAAAATTTTTGTTAGGCTTAACATCGATGAAAATTCAACGCGAANCCCAGCTTCTCACAGAGATAAACTGTTGATAACATTAAATGCACTGTAAAAGGCTTATTATATTTGGACCAATATGCTATTTAATTAAAATACAAAAGTGACTGGATGATACGAATAAAATATACATTTTTTTTTCACAATAAATAATCAACTAATCAAAATGGATTTATTATTAGGCTACATTTTTGCTTATTAAATATTTTAATGTTACATAATTTGGACTAAAGGTAGGCGATTAAGTCGTAATCTTGTATTAAATTTAATAATTTTAATTAAATAAATTAAAAAAATATGATTAGAAATTGCAGCCTGGCATTGTGCCGATGTCACAATAAATAATTTCTCGTTCAGGTTTGGTTTTGTGTATGACAAAAAATAATAAATTTCTAAACATAATTAATTAATGTTTATGAATTATCATTATTTAANAACAATATCTACAAACCTGACAAAACCCAATAAATTCATAAAGCCAAACAACTACCGGATTACATCGGGCTACTTTTCCGTGATTATATTTAACTAATTACTAAATAAATTGTCATTAGAGGAAGGCATTAGGCACCATCATTTAATAATTTTAATTAAATAAATTAATTCAGAATATTCCATGAGAAAAGAAAGATCGAATCAAGCAGGCGTTGCAGGTTTCAGTTCATAATTTGTGCTTATGACAGTTGCATTGCCAATTATGCTATCCAGACCTATGTCCAATCTTCACTTCTAGGGCAATTAATTTAGAAGACAGTCACTTAATCACCTATCTTCAGTCCAAATTATGTACCATTTATATATTTAAGTAGCCAAAATGTAACTTGTTAATGAATCTGTTTTGATTATTTGAGTAGTAATGTTATTGGGTTGCGATTTGAAAAAACTGTAGACCTATAAATTTCCACTGTCGTCTCTCTGTCTGTCCTTTCTTAATCTAAAGAACGAAGTTAGATAAATGAAAACCGAGACCAGATATGGAAAGCTTAGGGACAGGAGGTCCCAATTAACTATACACAAACTTGCGGTTTTTACTGGAAGTCACATTATTTTAATTCAAAAATTTCCCGTGAAAGGAGTTAGATGACCAGCATGACTTTATTGATAACACGAAAGGTATAATGTGCAGGGCAATACACTACTAATTTGAGGTGGAGAGCATATATTTTAAATTAAATAAATTAAAAAAATATGATTAGAAATTGCAGCCTGGCATTGTGCCGATGTCACAATAAATAATTTCTCGTTCAGGTTTGGTTTTGTGTATGACAAAAAATAATAAATTTCTAAACATAATTAATTAATGTTTATGAATTATCATTATTTAATACCTTTTTGTTTAGGAAATATTTGACTGGGATGCTGCAAAGAGAGAAAATTATTATATAGATACGATAATTTACCTCTTAATGTAATATAAATAATTAACATACCTTCATGATGGGTCTGGATTCTTTTTCAAACAAGCCTGATGGCATCAAATATTCAATTGCTTTCTAAATATAAATAAATTAATTAATTACAAAAATCTGTGCACTGCAAATTATGTGGTCATTTCTTACGTCAATATCTTCTTGCGTAAACATGTCTGGATCTACGCCCATCATATTAGCAAGATGACGTTTACCGATTTCATACTCCCTTGTTTCTTTTTCGATAAATTCCTCTGTAAGAAAAATTGTTTTAATAAAATTAAATGTAAATTTCTTCAGACAAAAAGAAAGAACATCAAGCATATTATGCTTTAACAGTTTTGGAAAGGATATAAAACGATTCATTCGATTTTTATAATAAATCAAATTATCGTCTTATTAATTAAATAACCAATAAAAGTTATTCGAATATTCAAAAAATTGTTTTAATAAAATTTATTTAGTAAATAAATTGATACAACAGCCGATCAATAAATAAATAAACAGCTGAGAAACCAGCCATTTTGCTTTTGGCTGGTTATTTGTCATCCTTAAATCTAAAACTTTTATTGACATTTTCATATACGTATATCCAAATATATATATCATTAACGACATATTAAGCATCATAAACAATAAATTAGTGTACTAATGAAGAAAAAATGAAACGTGGTATATACTGTTTAAGAATACAGCACATAGCTGTAACGGAAAATTTAGAATTAATATAGAAGTATCTAACAATAAAATATCTACATATAACATAACGCTGGAAACTGGAATGTTCACATGAAACATTTCCGTTATGATCAGATTTATTGGAACATTAAGAAATTATGTGTAATTATAGCAAAACAATAACTTACAAGGTCTGTATCTGTATAGACCCTAAGATTACATTTGGAATAGTTATTTGGAAATGCGCTCTTAATTACAAGATACAAACAGTATAAATATTCTAATGTTATTGTTAATTGTCTACTTGGACATTACTTATTAATAGGACTTAATACTAGTGTTTAAAGATTGACACAGCAATGAGAGTTAGTTCAGGAAACAACAAAATTTCTTTATTATATCACCTGTAGTAATAGTTTACGGGTTTCGGGCTAGCATGCCCCTCATCAGCAGTACTACTACCACACACTAAAAAGTAACAATAATAAAACAAGATAAGTTATTGTATGAGTTAAAATTTTTACATAGCCATAAAAAATAATTTTAAAACTTACTGTAAATACATATTCCAATTCCGAGTATAAATGTATTTTTCTCTTTGTATAATTAATTAATGAGTTAAACATTTCACTATATAATTAAATTAAAATATAATAAATAAAGGTTGTAAATTATTAAAAACNGAAGAATTTGAAAGTATAACCAACTACCGTGTTTCCCCGAAAATAAGACAGTGTCTTGTATTAATTTTTGCTCTGAAAAATGCGCTAGGTCTTATTTTCAGGGAATGTCTTATTTTTTCCAGGAAGAAGAATTCACATTTATTATTGAACAAAAAAAATTTCCAAGTCGAACTTAGACGAGATTGACGTATATCCGGTGTGTCGACCTGTCGCCTTTTTATAGCGTCAACATCGGACTCGATGACCAATTAGTGCTTACTGAACCGCAGCACTATGCAAATGTCATGTGGCGTGATTCCCGGCCGACCAATTAGCCATCACCAGCCGTAATGTTGTGCAAATCTGTGATTCTGAAGCCATAGTCTTATGCAAATCATGCCGTGTAGCGTAATTGTCTGCTGACCAATCAGTGGCTGTACTTTCAAAAAGCCAACGGCCAATTTCAACCATCTGTCGATGATCGTTACGACTGAAGAAAAACTTCGCTAGGTCTTACTTTCAGGGGGAGGTCTTATATTTTGCAATTCAGCAAAATCTGTGCTAGGTCTTATTTTCTGCGGATGTCTTATTTTCGGGGAAACACGGTAGGAGCAATCTTACGAGTTAGAGGATGTCCTCATAAATGGCAGAGAGATAAGTCAATGCCTATCTGAGAGAATTTAAAATGGAAAACTTACAATTGTTCAAGATAGTAGTGTTNATTACAAAATATACGCAGGATGGTCCAAAAATCAGTTAATCGATATATAGTTTAATATAAGAAATATAGTGTTTAAGATTTCTGGCTGCTATGCATATTATATAGATACAGATTTTGTATTTTGAGGATATTTACTTGAAAAAGTCTCATATATACAGGGTGTCCCATAAGTCACACCTCATTGGCAAAGTAATTTCAGGACAATCTGATGTTAGACAAATGCATTGACATCATTCCAATGATCATCCAGTACAGTAACATAATTCTCAACCACAAACACTTGGAGCAAGCATGAATTTCACTTACCATCATCAGATAACTTGTTTCAAAGTTTAAGAGGACTGGATGCATGCAACCTCAACATCTTGCAAGGTGCACGGAATGATTAGATCAGCCATCTGAATCTCTGCGTACAACAGGGCAGCAATCATATCAAATGTCATCTGAACAGCTATTTGTCTATGAGGCATGACTTATGGGACATCCTGTATAATACAATAAAGCTACATTGTCCTTACTGATTGAGTGACTGATTCGTTTACCTATCGACATAAAATGATTGAGTAGAAGCAGACTTCTAACAGATACATTTACATTTACAAATACTGCATTTTTAATAGTGAATTGAGTATATTACCAGAAACATCTGAATCTGAAACAAATCAAATACTTTATGCTCTAAGAGATGTAAGAACTTTACCCACAACATCTGATTGAACATCATAATGTATGTTAAAAATATTATTTTAAACATAACCTACCTATTTTTACTATTTTTAATTGATTTAAAATAACTTTCATCATTCATGTGGGGTTTAGACGAGTAACATTCCTAAACCGTTAAGACAATAAATTTACGAGGGCTTGCGGGGTTGGCGAGGAGAACGAGGGAAAGTCAAGTAAGGGGAGAAGTGAGAAAGAGGGAGAGAGTCAAGTAAGGGGAGAAGTGAGAAAGACAACAGTTGGTAACGACGCAAAAGTGAGAAAGGACAAAAAGACATTACGAAGACGAGAATATCATTCTATCCAGACAGTTACGATGGTTATGAACACTGGATTATTGTCATTTCTATTTCTATATCTCAATAACTATTCCTACATTCATAACGATATTTCTATGCCCTTTTTTGGACCATGTCCTTACTCAAAATTTTAAGCTTCACTTTTTGCTTTTCTTCATGTCGTGACATTTCAGGAGCTTCTTTCTTTTTCCAGCATAGAATATCCAATGATTTTAATTTATGACGACAGTAGCTCTTACTAATAGTAAATTTTGAAGCTCTGATAGTTTTGACGTAATTCTCAGTTGATTTTTTACATTTTTTCAGTTTTCTCATATAAACGTTTTTTTCAGCATCATCCTTAGGCTAATACTAAATGGCTTAAGCTATTTCAAAGCTTCATAAACATTTCTGAATATCTGTCAAATAGTAGATCACAAGTTTTCTGACATCACATTGGTTTAAAATTATTCATTTTACTAATTATTTCAGCTAAAATTTTAATAATGAATATAGCTAATACTTTAACGGATGATAGACGTCAGGATGCCAAATATTTGAAAATTTGCCTAATAACTAGCTTATTCAAATTATCATCAGTTACTTGCAGACAATCCTTATCTTTTTGAATATCTGTCTGAAATTATAATTAATAGTTTTAATTTTGCATGGCCTTCTCGAAATCTGATCTTAACAACATGTAACAATTAACTTTGAGCATTGCAGAAGAAAATTTCTGAACTTTATATTGAAATAGTTGAAAATATAAAACCAGCTATCAGCAATTTCTTTAATAACTTTTAATCATCAATGTGGAAGATATCCAGAACACAGAAAAAATTAAAATTTGTGTGTAGATTGCAGAGCGATAAGTATATAAATAAATTCTAACTAGTAATCATAAGGAGTTTGAGGCTTTTTTGTGTGTTTGTATATTTCACAAATTTAGAAGTCAAATATTTAATTTAATAAATGTTTTCAAAACAGGCATCACATCTTTAGATCATTATCATGATAAGTTTTACAATATTGATATATAGTGTGTGTATATATATATATATATATGTATGTATACACACATTCAAAACTGAATTCTTAAACTAGAGATAGATTTAATCTACTCAGAAGACCAAATTAACTGTGTACAGTTTAAAGAGGAAATCACAGAAAATGCATTGTTGTACATGATGGAGAAAGATGGGGTAGAGCAGGCATGGCCAACATATGGCCCGTCTAATAAATTTATGTGGCCCGCGACTAATCTTTCAATATTAGCTACTCAAGTCCAAATAGCTTAATGAAAAATTCAGATGCCTGAAAAGAAAAAAAAAGGATCAACAACTCACTGTGCATTTAGAGTTAACCCTCCATTACAAATCTGGTAAGTACAGCGTAGAATGTTGATAATGTGAAAATGTATGTGTAATCACTATCTACAATTTCGTCTCTATGGGGTGACACCACAATGAAATCTCGCACCACTTCAAAATCTTCCTAGGGCAGTCTCTGGTTCTGTCCATGAAAAAAGTTTTCTTTCCAATTTGGCCCGGGGGCAAAAACTGTTGGCCACCCCTGGAATAGAGTCATAGTCTATGCCAGGGGTGTCAAATCTATGGCAATATAGAGTCATAGTCTATGCCCAAAGTGGCATGTAAAGAGAAATCATCTGGCATGTGATTTTGACTTATCATCTGTATTTTTCAATCATCCTTTTGATTGAAAAATATTGATTGAAACTGATCCTTTTTTCAATCAGCTGTTTTACATTTATTCTAATTAAAGTATATTCATTTAATTTCTTTAAATATCATTATTTGAAGTCTAAAACTTTGAAATGCATAAACATCTTTAACCCCTCTAATTACATGTACTGTACATTAGTTCATGGACACTAACTTTCAAGAAATTATTTTAAACATCATTGCAAATTTTTTTCTGATACTTTAATCATATGACTAGTAAATAGGCATATGATAAACTCATTTGGCACTAATACCACTAAAATTATCCACATAGACAAGGAATGGCAAACCTCAAAAGGTTTGCCATTCCTGGTCTACATGAATAATTTTAAGCCATAAGCCATATAGTAAGCATAAGTAGCTTTAAACTGCAGTTCCAAATGAAGGGTTTTGACTCCCCAGATGACCAAAAACGTCAAAGATACCATATCTCTAATTGTGATTCTTGGTGAGATATTTGCCTCCAAAGTTCTGACTGGGCTACTTGTTAAACATATGATAGAACTGACAGTGTGTGCAAGCATGATTTCAATCAAACATCAGAAATAGTCAGTGCAATGGCATTTCTTGTGTTTTGTGCCATCTATAGCAAAGTGGAAAACAGTTGATTATTAGCATTGTTTTGAGAAATATTCCAGATTTTTTCACTTTTAAATTTTACCCCATTTTGGAGGTCTTCAAAATTCTAGGTTGATTTTGGGCTATATCTCACATAGAGCCATATGTAAACCTTTGGTTTCTTTGATTTTTTTACTCTTATAGGCATGGTCTACAGCTCTGATAAGGTCCCAACTGTTTCATTTAGAGCTGCATTTATATCATTAAAGAGGAGAAGGTTTGCCAAAAGTTCATCACAGTACACAACAGGATGCATGGGGATCAAAATGGCTCAAAAACTATACACATAATTAATGAGTGGCCTATAATAAGTCAGATCCAAATAATTTATTGATCTCATATTATAATTTAATATATCTAAGATACAAACCATGTCTTTTAGCTCTTTCAAGATATGCTTTCATGGCTTTACTAATTTTCTGAATTTTTACCGTTTGGGCATCACTCATTTCGGAATTGGAAACCAGAACCGAAGACACTTCTTTCCTTATTATGTTACAATAATGAAAATTTTTCTAAATAAAACAAAATAAAAATTCTAACTTGAATACAATATATTTAAAACATCATAATTTAAAACAAAGCAATTATAAGTTAAAGAAAGGGTGTGTGTGTTTTTTAATTACTTGGAGGGTAATTATGTGAAATGCGATGGTAGCAATTCCGGGGCAATTTGGAGTGTGGAAGGGCACTTCTGCATAAGCCAGTACTACTGCCTATCACCATAACTAGGATATTAATCACATCAACATTAAATAATTGTATATAGGCTACAGATGAGGATAATCAGCAAAGAAGAAGAGTTTGAAGTTATAACCAGCTAGGAGCAAACAATAAATTATGATATTAAAGCATTAAAATGATGGCAGAGAAACAAAGGCAAAGTTCTACTTTGTATATAATATGTAATATTTTTATTTATGTTTATTAAATATAAATACTGTCAGCCATATATTCTTTTAATTTGTAACACAAATATATTATTAAGTGATTGGCAGGAGCACCAGAGGACATCGTTTCCATGTTTTGCATTTTATTGCGAAGGCGTAGCATCAAAAGAAAGGTCGTCTCCATGTTTGTGAATTTTTGTGGACTCGCTGGCATGTTAAAACAATGGAAGAGAAACTAAGGCAAAGTTTTACTTTGTACAAACATAATATTTTTGTTTATGTTTATTAAATAAATTATGATAGTTTACAAAATTAGTTTTGAATGGATTAATTTCTATTATCTCAACACAACTACATGACTGTCATGCAGAACAGAAGTCGACCTCCACTCCATATGTACTCACGTGCTGAGGCGCAAGCAACAGCAAGCACTGAAGTGCACAGACGGGGCAAGCTTCACACTATATAACATCAGGTACTGCACGAACAGTCAAGTGGGTTAAACAAAAATATAGAAACTATCATATAAAAAACACAGGCTTACGTGCCCTTCCCCACCACTCCTCGTCACATTTCACCTAATTACTCCCTAAATAATAATAATAATAATAATAAAAAGACATCCTTTTCTCAACTCGTACCGTAATTATATTATTGTATATTATAATATTAATATATCATTATTACACATGTGCAAATAATAATACTGCATATTTTTCAAAAAATTATTAATTAAATTTATGATTTTATTACAGAATTTAACGATATTTATTTACAAAGACAAAATAACAGTGTAGATACCATTTCAAGTGCAATCGGACGAAAATTTTGGCGAAACATCACACGAATCATGTTACCAACGGGCGTCGCCATCTTGAAACTACGGTGGCTCCACCTGCGTAAAATTGATACATTCATTTTTAAATCGTCGATGCTGCCATAGTTTACTGTTAGATCTTGGAAGTGTGTCATGTTAATTTTCTGTTCTCTCGGGTAAATATATATTTTTTTAAATTTCGTTTTAATTTCAAATTAATTATTATTATATTATATATGTTAAATAAATATAANTTGTGCCGTTCGATCTGTAAAAAATAACTAACCAGATGAACAATGCGACAATGCAATAATGCGTTCGAGTTGATAAAATTAATTGAAACTTATTTTTCGCATTTTCGAGCAGTGTGTAGTGTTAAGAGTTCAGTGGTTTGCAGAAAATTAAACAATTCAATATCTACACATACCTTTGCACGAAGATCATTGATTTCTTCTCTTAATGCTTCCAACTTCTGTTTTGCTTCGATCAGCTGCTGCGTTAGTGATTCGATGCGATTAGATCTGTCGATTCCTAACTGTTGTCTAATATACCTGTGGCAAAAAAATTCCATTGTTCGTATAAATCCAGTAGAAACGTAAGTAGGTTCAATAATGTTTTGTACCGAAATGTAATTTACTGAATAAAACTTTAAACTTTGCTAATACAAAATTGACTTGAAAAATGCATAAATACGGTATGAAATAATGTCTTCGTGCATTTCGGGATAACAATAATTAATAGTATGTAAACCAATATACTTTTTTAATGGATACATAAAAATAAACTATGTATTTATGACATTAGTATTTACGGGTTGGGATCATTTTATTTCTACTACAATATCTGTTTACCGTGCTAAATGACATTAAATACAAATATCCCGAATCATTACATGTACACTTATCGTCTGACTTTGATATATACAATTGATAATATAAATGGGAAATTTAGGCGCAATCTATTCAGTAAAAGTATTAATTTAAATGAAAAAATTTGTATAAACATTACATCATAGGATCTTCTGGTCTATCCTGTTCTTCATACAAGTTACACAATACTGCCAAAAACAAAGTTTGCATTCATCAAAATTATAAATTTTTGAACCAATTTAAAAAAAAAACAAATAAAAAAATATAAAAAAAAGGAAAATAAACAAAAAACATAAAAACAATAAAATAAATAAATGAAACAAACAAACCTGTAGTTATAGTTTCGTACATGCCGCCACTTTCTAAATATTCTGCAAATTGAACTAAACTACGAAACACAGCCGTCGTACGAAACGAACGAGGTAGCTATGGACAGGAATGAAAGCGCTATTCATTTCCATTGTTACGTGCAAAAATGTCGTCGGCAATATATTTTAAGTTTAGAGAAAAAATTTCGTAAACTTTTGTAGAAAATCTAATGTGATACTTACCATGTACAAACTCATTGTAAAGTTATTCGAAAGCTTTGTCCAAAAACGTCTAAAATATAAAGCACTGTCACAGACGAAACGAAGGTAACCAGAATGCAAATGACAACGTGGTCTAGCCGAACGAACGGTGTTGCCACACAACTATTCTTAGTTCCGGTAGAAATGTTTTCATCCACAACTAAAACATTTTTTTTATATTAATGTGATTGTGACATGTAAAAGACATTTATGAATTTAAATAACAATATTAATTGATATTAATAATTAAATACAATATTTCTTAATTGTATATTTGAGTAAAACATTTGAAATTCGCTCCATCTTCCATCCATGCACATAGGTAAGACACTCCAAAGAGCATGCCGTGATGTCCAGCCAACTCTCTCCATGGCTAGAGACAAAAGTGGGGGGATGTCGGGTCATTAAGAATCTGCAACCCATTTCGTGCGAAAAATTCTTCCCAACATCTACCACGATGATCAAGGCGGTCACCCCCCCAGCAAGGGGAATGTGAGTTGGTATCACCAGCTAGAACGAAATAAGTATTGGAAAAAGTATCCACAATGCCCTGCATATCTGAGATGAATTCCTGTATATTACAATCTCCAGGGCAGTAAAAGTTTATAAATATGTACCTACATCTGTTTATAATGATTTCTGTACAGCAAATGTATTTATTACTGATATTTTTGTGATGTAAAATAGAAAGCTTGTTATGTGTGGCTATGGAAGTTGCCCATGGATATTCTGAAATGCCGGATAAAAATGTACGTGATGTAGGTAAACATGCAGGTTTGAATTTGATACAGTATGGTTCTTGTACTAATACAAAATCAAATTTATTAATAACTGAGGCAAGAAGGGAAGTAGCTGCAATTCTTCTCCCTCTGTTATATTGCAGAAAACAGATGTTATTGTTAATGTAGTGGTCCATAATCCGTTCGTTGTATTAGGTTATTTTTAATTCTGGCAAATAATCGACAAGAACCATCTCTAGCATTGTGGCCGCAAGCAGAAGGACCATCGTGTTTACAATTACAGCAAATAGCTAGTTTGTTCTTGTTAGTGCAGTCCTTAAAGCTATGTTGGCCAGCACAGTGACTGCAAGTTGGTACCTCTTGGCTACATGAAGTGGAAGAGTGTCCAAATCGGCAGCAGCAAAAACATTGGAGTACTGGGCAAAAGTCAGTAATTCTACACTTGGACCATTGGACTGAAATTTTTTTGTATTTTAATAGTTGTAATCTCAATTTTGGTAATACTTCTATCACCCAGTTATTGTAATATTTGCCCTTCTTACCCATGCGAAATTTAATCCTAAAGTTTTCTAAAAATTCTTCTTCAGTGCATGTTCTCATTTCGATGGAAAATACATAATGGTAACTCTTCTCTTGATAGCTCAGATGGCACTGAACAAATAGCTAAATGAGGCAGTTTTTTCTTAGGTTTCTTAATTACTATTTGTGGAATTTCCTTCCTGACAAATTGTTCAAATTTATTCGCATCCTCACTGTCCCCCATCTCCACCCCCTCAGTGTGGGTTCCTGTCCGTGGTGAGGGGACCTCCCAGAGATGGTTTAGTAACTCTTCTTTACCATCCCTGGGATCTGAACGCCCACCCACGTGTTTGCCGTGCGTGGTGTCCCGTATGCCGGAAAGGGGGATCCTGGTAGTTGAGGGGCAACATAACATCCCCAACACACTGCTTTGGCCCCTACTTCGGATAAACGAGAGGCTCAAATCAGGCTCTGTTTGAGTCAATCGGCTGGTCGTTGAGTCATTCTTGACCTTGGCCTGGAGTCAACCGATCGATGCAGATCGGGTGGACACATCAGACAAGATGTGCTCTTCTTGACTGCATTGTGAGGGTATAACTCCTGGGAAACCCTGGTGTGACGGTCTATGGGAGTCTCCCATGTGAAGGCATCCCCTTGTTGGGCCCCATGGTGGGTGAAGTCACTAGGAGCTGAAATATTATTATTTAATCATGGACCCTAAAACTTTAAAAAATAAAGACAAGCCAGAAAACACTGCTAGTCAGCCATCCTACTTAATAGTGCTTGCTACTGGAGAAAAACCTTTGTCAAAATGCCCCCCTTTCTTGATTCAGAAGTTATTTGAATCAACGATCAGATAACTGAAAAAAACACAAAAATTGAGGTCAGGAGATCTACTTGTAGAAACTGCCTCACTTCAACAGTCGGCAAAACTTCTAGCTGCAAAGAAATTGGGAGACATTGAAGTCACAGTCACACCACATGGAAGTTTGAACTTATCACGTGGTGTGATATCTGAGTTTGATCTGATGTCTGAAGATGAATCAGATATTCAGATGAACCTTTCAGACCAAGGCGTCACTGCTGTCCAACGTATCTTCATTTGTCGGGATAGCAAGTTAATACCAACCAAACATTTAATTCTCACTTTTAACAAGCCAACATTGCCATCTTTTATTACTGCAGGTTATCTGCGCTGCCCTGTCCATCCGTACGTTCCAAATCCGCTGCGTTGTTTCAAATGCCAGCGGTTTGGACATTCACAGACATCCTGCCGTGGCAAGAGTGTATGTGCACAGTGTGGGACTAAAGGTCACGAGAGTACTGAGTGTACCAGTACTCCATGCTGTGTTAACTGCAAAGATACCCATCCTTCTTACTCCCGAAAATGCCTGCATGGCAAAGAGAAAAAGAGATACAATGGCTAAAAACAGTCAATAACATACCCTACCCAGAGGCTCATCGTGTGGTCACTTCAACTGCACCTTTGAGACAGAAAACATTTGCTGCTGTTTTGAAATCCACAAAGACGTGGGGTTCAAACAGATATTTCTGTCTCTCCAAGTGAATCTCTTACCCGCCATGCAAAATGTTTAATTCTCCCATCTATCCAAACATCAGAAAAGGAGACAAAGAAGGTCAAAACACCCCTACCAAAAACAGGGGTAACAAGAAATGTGGGTTCAAAAAAGGCAAATAAAAACCGACTTAACAAGCAAAAGGTGAAAGCAGCTATTTCCAGATCAACTAAAAAATCGGAGACTCAGTCTAAGAGTGAGTTCTCTGACTTTTCCGATGAAGAAAATAATATGGTGGTGACACAACCAACGTCACCTCCAAAAGAAAAACCTTCCATGAAATTAAAGAGGGATACCTTCACAAAGAATGATGCCTTAAACACATAATGGATTATAAAATAATCCAATCGAACTGTCGTGGTTTCTGCAACAACTTCTCTGACATTAAACACTTGACATTATCTACCCAATCTCTCTGCATGGCACTCCAGGAAACCAACCTAAAACCTGGAGAAAGAATCTCTTTAAAAGGATTTGATTTGTACTGCAAGGATGATGATAGCCACAACCGTGCCAGTGGCGGTGTGGCTATTCTGGTTTCAAATTGCATTCCATCCTTACCGGTACAAATAACCACTGCTTTACAAGCTGTGGCAGTCAGAATTTCAATTGGAGTAACTGTCACAGTTTGTTCTATATACTTGCCACCAGATGTCAGAGTCAATGAGGATGAATTGGATGCTTTGGTTGAACAGTTGCCTACTCCGTTTATTTTAGTAGGTGATTTCAATGGCCATAATCCTATGTGGGGCAGTCCCGACATTAATTGTCGAGGCAGGACCATTGAAAGATTTATAGGCAACCAGCAACTGTATTTATTTAATACTGGAAAAGTGGCATACTTCCATGCCCCAACAAGAACATTCACTGCCATTGATCTATCACTAGCAACCCCAAACCTATTTTCAGCATTTACATGGGAGGTTGGATCTAATCCACTCTCTAGTGACCACTTCCCAATATTTCTAAAATATCGCGGCAGAGATAGCTGTGAAACAGCCCGTCCACCACGCTGGAAATTGGAAACAGCCGATTGGCCTGTTTTTTCTTCTATGGCCAACATCACAGAGGATTTGGTGAATATTTCTGATATCAATGACGCAGTTGAAGTTGTCACTTCCAGTATTATTCAGGCAGCTGAAAAAACAATGGGGAAGACCACAAATTAAAGACAAAGTCGCTCTAAAATTATTTTTTTAGACGATTACCATTTTTACAGTGTTCTAGAACAAATAATAGACAGCTGGACCTTCCTTTTTAGGCTACACAACTGCCTACATTTAAAAAAGTTCCTTAAAAACACAAAAAACCAATAAAGATTAAAATTCTTCTTTAAAATTGGAATAGTAAATCTTGCGACGTCTTGTTAGTTCATCCTTATCTACGTGGGTTTCTGGCTCCTTTTATCTACTGTGGATTAGCGCTGACAAATGTAGATTACGCCAAGATATCCCTCTGGTGACGAATATTAACGATATATTTGTATTTCCGTCGGATGAATAAATTATTTTTTTCACAAATTAAAGACAAAGTCGCTCNTCATCCGACGGAAATACAAATATATCGTTAATATTCGTCACCAGAGGGATATCTTGGCGTAATCTACATTTGTCAGCGCTAATCCACAGTAGATAAAAGGAGCCAGAAACCCACGTAGATAAGGATGAACTAACAAGACGTCGCAAGATTTACTATTCCAATTTTAAAGAAGAATTTGTAATCTTTATTGGTTTTTTGTGTTTTTAAGGAACTTTTTTAAATGTAGGCAGTTGTGTAGCCTAAAAAGGAAGGTCCAGCTGTCTATTATTTGTTCTAGAACACTGTAAAAATGGTAATCGTCTAAAAAAATAATTTTAGAGCGACTTTGTCTTTAATTTGTGGAAAAAAATAATTTATTCATCCGACGGAAATGCAAATGGGGAAGACATCAACTAGATATCCAAAACATCCTAAACCATGGTGGAACCAGAATTGTGAGGCAGCATTTAAAGCCCAAAAGAAAGCATGGGGTATTTTCAGAAGATACCCCACTGCGAGAAATTAAAAAAGCAAAGGCAAATGCAAGAAGAATAAGAAGGGAAAGCCAAAGGGATTCTTAGAGGAAGTATGTCTCTAGCAGAACATCCTCCACTAGCTCAAAAGCAGTCTGGGATAAAATCCATAAAATTAATGGAAAATATGCTTCTCACTCTCTGTCCATGCTAGAAAATAATGGCACAATAATCAGCGACATATCGGATATTGCTGATACGTTGGGTGAAACATTTTTTGCTTCATCCAGCAATATTATGTATTCAAGGAATTTTCAGGTTTATAAAGCCCAAAGAGAAAAACAGTGTTTAAACTTTCATTCCTCATCTAATAAGGAATATAATGTGCCATTCACTAGAATTGAATTACATACAGCGATCTCTCGCTCAGGGATTAGTGCTGTAGGCTCGGATAAAATCCACTACAGCATGATTAAAAATCTTTCGAACAATTCCCTTTCTAATCTCCTGCATCTGTTTAACAGAATATGGACAGAACATACTTTTTCTGACTCTTGGAGGCTATCTATCATTATTTCCATTCCCAAACCAGGTAAAGACCACAAGAATCCCTCTAATTACAGACCAATCTCTCTGACAAGTTGCCTGTGTAAACTCTTTGAGAGGATGGTAAATAGACGCCTGATGTTCCTCCTAGAGGAAAAGAACTACTTTTCACCACATCAGAGTGGATTTCGTAGGAACAGAAGTACCACAGACAATTTAGTAAACCTTGAAACATCTATACGCGAAGCGTTTGTTCGACGACAGCACTTAGTGTCTGTATTCTTTGATATAGAGAAGGCCTACGATTGCTGCTGGCGATACGGAATACTTCGTGATATGTACCAATTCGGATTACGAGGTAACTTGCCAATTTTTATAAAAAACTTTTTACAGAATCGAAGATTCCAAGTTAGGATGGGCAACGCTTTATCTAGGCTCTTCACACAAGAAGAAGGTGTTCCTCAAGGTTCTATTTTGAGTGTGACTCTGTTCCTAATTAAAATTAACAGCATAGCTAACTGTCTTCCTCCCAGTGTGAAACACACACTGTATGTGGATGACTTTCAGATCTCCTGAAAGTCATCCACATACCAGTCTAATAATATGAGTTTCATTGTGAGACAACTGCAAACCTCCCTAAATCGCATATACGATTGGTCCAAGACTAATGGCTTTACATTTAATGCAACGAAGACCTCGTGCATCCACTTTTGCCAAAGGCGTGGCCTGCACGTGGATCCTGAAATTTATTTAAATGAGGATAAAGTTCCAATGGTGAATGAGGCTAAGTTTTTAGGTGTTTCTTTCGACCAAAAACTGACATTCTTGACACACTTGCGCAACCTGAAGAGTAGATGCTTAACCCCTTCTGAGCCGCGCTCGAGTGTGACTCGAGCAAGTTTTATAGTCTTACGTCGTTAAGGCCACTTTTGAAAAAATTATTTTTTTTGAATTTTTGGAATGTTTT